GGGGGGGGGGGCAACCTCTGTGTCACGGAGAGCGAGTTCAAGTGCCCAAGGGCAACAAGGCTCTAGGCTTGGTGAAGCCCTGCCCTGAGTGCTCCCCAGTGCTCCCTGGCAGAATGGAAGAAATCTTCCCCTCTGACCAGAGGACCTGTCCCGTCTTAGCCTGCCACGTGTCAATGAGGACACGGCTTCAGCAGGATAGAAGGCCGGCCTACCAGAATTATCTGGCTCAGGGAAGAGGGTGGAGAAGGAAGGGGCGGTCCTGACTCAGTTGCATAGGTGTGGTCACAGATTTCCAGGATTCCAGATTCTTACCCCACCGATCGCAGCCAGGCCACTTTCAATCATGTGCTCACCCCAGCGATAATGCTGTTACTTACCCCCACCAGTCCCCGGTTCCCCACGAGATAAAGTCCAAACTCCTCAGCCTGTTCTGTAAGGCCCTGAGGAATTTATTTTTTAATGGGGCCAAGAGGAATTTGATCCTTGCTCACCTAGGTTCCAGAGAAACTAGACTTTTCACCTTCTGGAATATAATGTGCTTTTTTATACCCGTGGGCAGTTCCCTCGACCAGGAACACCTTCTCCCTTCTTGACCTGGGAAAAGCCTCCCCCTGCTTCCTGACCCAGATGGAACACTACCGTTTCTGGGAAGCCCAGCACCCCAGCCCTGGCCAGACTCTGTTGCTCTCTCTTTCCTGCTCCCAGCCTGGGGCGCACATCTGGTTTCTAATGCTCTCCGCGTGGCCCTGTCACGAAGAACGCAAGATATGTGTCCCCTCTGCTCCGTGGCTGGGTCACGTCTCACCCACCGTTTTCTCCCAGCCCAGGTGCGTGCTTGAGTCTCAGTAAAGGTTCGCTGATACGTGAAAAGGCTGCCACAGAATCTGGGCACTTCGGTGTCAGTCCATAATCGACAGCCCGGGCGCCCACATTTCAGGAAGTTTCTTCAGACATTCGAGCTTCTATGGCTCGCCTATGACGTGCCAGGAGCTCGCTCGGCTTGGGGACTGGAGGCACGGCTCTGGATGGGACGGCGCCCCCTCCCTGCTGCCCAAGGTACCTGCTGGTTGTCCCTGGGGCGGCACAGAGACACGCACCTCGAGATCTGGGGGAGCCCCTGCCTCTGGGCTGAGCGTGTGCATGCATGTGTATGTGTGTGCACATGCCTCTATGTGTGTGGGGCGGGGGGAGTGCGTGTGTGTGCTTCTGTGTGTGCGCGTCGTGTTGAAGAGGCAGGAATTCCCATGAGACCTGAGCCTTTCCTGGCTGCAAAGGGAGCTCCTGGGCTCGACCCCGGGACTCTCAGCGCAGCCAGCCCCTTCGACCGTGCTCTGCAAGCACCCATGTGCCCACAGATGCCCTGGGTTATCGTTAAAATGCAGGTCTTGGGGCACCTGGGTGGCTCAGTCGGTTAGGTGTCCGACTTCAGCTCAGGTCATGATCTCGCGGTCCGTGAGTTCGAGCCCCGCGTCGGGCTCTGTGCTGACAGCTCAGAGCCTGGAGCCTATTTCCGATTCTGTGTCTCCCTCTCTCTCTGCCCCTCCCCCGTTCATGCTCTGTCTCTCTCTGTCCCAAAAAATAAATAAACGTTGGAAAAAAAAATTAAAAAAAATAAATAAATAAACATTAAAAAAGAAAAAAGAGCTACTGATGAACGATATTCCTTTTTTCCCCTCTTTTCACAGTGAAATATAATACCCATTCAGACAACTGCACGCGAAGATACACGGCTCAGAAATGACCGTCTCACCCAGGTCACGAAAGGGATGGCCAGTGCCCCAGCGGTCCCTTCACCGACCCTGCGCGTCGCACCCGCGCCCTCCCTGCAGAAGTGACCCCGTGCTGACACCGTCTTGCTTTCCTGTATGGTTTTACGCCCCGGGCGTGAATCCGACTCCAGTTCTGTTTTGTCTGGGTTTAAACTTTGTATCAGGAAAAAAATATAATGGCTATTCTTCGGTGTTTGATTTCTTTTCACATCACATTATCATTTTCAGTTTCCTCCAAGTTGGTATGTGTAGCTGTGCTTAATTCCTTTTTTTTTCTGGCCACTCAGTTGTATTTTCTGTATGATTGTAACTGCAGATCACTCATCCACGTTTGGATTATTTTTGGATTTGGCTCTTACGAAGAAGGCTGTTGGGCATTCAGGTATGTGTGTCCTACGGGCGTGTGGACAAGCGTTTCTGTGGGTGGATTTGCTGAAACAGAGGCGTGTGTATTTTTAACTTTGGTAGATGAATCTTACAATGGTTGCTGCCGATTCGTGTGTCTGTGTCAAAACTCTACAGCAGCCTGGACTTCTGGTGGCTTTATATTCTCGCGTGGTCTGGTGAAAGTAAAAAACAAACGAACCAACAAACAAAACCAAAACAAAACAAAACAACAGGGGAGGGGGAGCATTAGTACCAATTCAGAACAAATGGCAAGCAAGAAGTAAAATGGGGAAAGAAGTCCAAATGTGTCCGTAATTATCGTAAATATAAATGGAGTAAATGGACCGGGTGAAAGACGGGAGTAAAAAGTTCATTTATAAGACACACACTACACATAACAGAAAAACTTATAGTAAATGGGTGAAGGGGAGATACCGGGAAAACATTATTCAAAAGAAAGTCACGGAGAGCTGGGTTGCATCAGACAAAACAGACTCGAAACCAAAAAGTGTTATGAGTGACAGAAAGGACATCTATCACTGGCAACATGTGACATTTTCAAAGCAACTAGCTTCAAAAAACTGGAAGCAAAACTTGGTAGGGCCACAGGGAGAAACTGACAGGTCTACCGTCAGGAGAGAGATTTCTGCCCTTGTCTGTCCATGATGGATTGTCAAAGCGGAAAATAAAAAGTGAGGAGCAGAGAATGGAAAATGATACAGATCATTGGAATAAAAACCAAGTGGAGCTTCTGAAACGAAAAATGCCATAAAAATGAGACACCGGAAACTCGGTGGATGGGTTTAAAAGTGGGTGAGACGCAATCAGGGAGAGATTCGATGAACTCGAAGGTATGTCAGAAAGAATTTTCTGGAACCCTGCTCAGAGAGACAAAGAGGTCAAAAGACTACGAGAAAGGTTAAGATATGTAGAACAATGAAGTAGTAACCTATGCCTCCTTAGTATTCTAGAAGAAGGAGAGGGAGAAATTGAGGCAGAGCAGTATTTAAAGTACTAAGAGCTCAGCATTTCCCACTACAGATTCACGCAGCCTAACGAATCCCGTGTAGGGGTTAAAAAAAAAAAAAGAAAAACGTATGTCAAGATGCATCATGACGCCAGGACATCGGGGTGAGCCCTGAATCCACGCCAAAGATCTCACTGCCGAGGAATGTTTCCTTCATGGGATTTTGAAAAAGTAAAAAGGTAAAAAAATCCTGGGCCGGCAACTTGGCGCGACAAGAGTTGAAATGTGCTAAGGAGGTAACTTCAGACTTGGTCGAAGCATGCAAAGTGACAATTTCAGGGAGTTGACCCCCAAATGCCATTTTTTAGGCGCCCAGGAGCCGGTCAGGGTTCAGACATCGCGTTTAGTCGTTAACGCATACAGCTGCTTTTAAGAGGGCCTCCCCACCTTTTTATTTTCATGACACAGACTTTCCGGAGAGACCGGGCCAATCGTTTTAATTGCAGAACGGCCTGCGCTCAGGATTTGTCAGATTGTTTCACTGGGGGTCATTCAAGACTGTTTTTCCCTCCCCCTCCCCGCCTAGCAGTGACGTAGGGAAATGCCGAAGTGAACGGTGTGAATTTGTACACTTTAGAGTGTATACTGTTCAAAACGCAGAGCCTGGAGGGACGCGGAGCAAGGTTAGAGGAAACAAGGAATTTAGCACCCGGGGGTCCCTTTGTCCGTATGACCACTTCCAAAGGACAGGGCCTTCAACAGAGTAACCCGGAGGGATCGTCTGTAAATTAATTGCTGACTCTCCGTGTCTAGAGTAGCTAATTTGCGCGAACACCACCAAGTGGGCGTCCTTTAGGAAAGGCCTGAGTGGAACCGACAGGATTTTTCAGGCCAGAGAAAACAGACGCGGAAACGAGTTTATGGGAACACGTTGCGGCCTCTCCCCACGACGACTCGGCTGGTCACCCGTTGGGAGAGGCAGCCGCGTGCTCTGTAAACACCGGGCCCCGGGGAGCGGTGGAGAGGCCCCTCCGTCCTTTCTGTTGGTGTTGGCCAAGGCTATCTCTTCGCCCCACATATTTGTGCCGGGAACAAACAGCCGAGACCAGCAAGAAGGCGTGATCTGCTGAGGAAGAACAGACGGGGCATTGTGAAAATATTTTCCAGGGCCAGAACAGACCTGGGGCCACACTGTCCCGATCCGTGACCCCTTGAGGACCTGTCCTGTGTCCCGCTGTGCTGTTTTGTGCTTGTGCTTTCCTTTCATAGCAGGAGGTGGCCCTACGAATCGCACTCTGCCAGGAAACACACATGCTTCATTTCACAAGCTCAATAGTTCAGATTATATTGGATTTCTTTGGTCTGTTGATACTCAGAACGTGGTCTGTGGACGAGCAGGGGCACCCCCGGGGAGCCTGTGAGAAAGGCAGACCCGTGGGTCCCTCTCCAGGCCTCTTAAGTCAAAACCCACATGCTCTCGTGGGACCCCTGGGGCGGGGGACGTGGGCACGTTAAAGTCTCCAGAGCACATTGGTTCTTAAACCTAGCTGCCCGTCAGGATCATTTGTGGAGCTTTTTATTTTTAATTAAAAAAATATTTTTTTTTTTTTTTTTGGGAGAGAGGGTGGGAGCAAGTGGGGGTCGGGGGGGGGTAGTGGAGAGAAAGAGAGAGAATGAATCTCAAGAAGCCTCCATGCTAAATGCAGAGCCCGACTGGGGACTCGATTCCACGACCCTGGGATCATGACCTGCGCCAAATTCAAGAGTCAGATGCTCAGCCGACTGAGCCACCCCAGTGCCCCATCTGTGGAGCTTTAAAGCACAGATACCCCCTGGGGCGCCTGGGTGGCTCCGCTGGTTGAGCATCTGCCTTTGGCTCAGGTCGTGATCTCATGATTCATGAGTTCGAGCCCCACGTCGGGCTCTGCGCCGAACAGCTCAGAGCCCGGAGCCTGCCTCCGATTCTGTGTCTCCCTCCCTCTCTGCTCCTCCCCCGCTCACACTCGGTCTCTCTCTCAAAAATGAATAAATGTTTTAAAAAAAGTTGTTTTAAACACAGATTCCCCCTCCGTTTTCCTTTGCCCGCCATTCCGAGCGCTCCTCTGTGAATGATCCCCTTCTGCCTGCTTTTTCCCACCTTTTCAACTTTCGCTAAAATACATTCAGGGTCGACAAAACGATGTCGGGCGTGCGCTCTGCTGGGGAGAAGACCAACCACACCGGGCCCTCACACAGTCCCTTTGCTTGTTACCGCTTCCCCCTCCGGCTTCTGCCCTGTTTGTTCTTGTTTTTATATTGGCTCCTCGACAGCAAGACTCCTCAAGAGGCATCGATACAGACTCCAGGCTTCTCTCCTCCCCGGACGCACCGCACTGTCACCTGCACCGGGCCTACTTCCCCCAGTCTAACGGAACTGTCTTCTCCAGGTCACCCGTGACCCCTTGTGGCTCAGGCCAAGGTCGGCTCTCAGTGTCTCCTTCTTGCCCTCTCTGCCGTGTCTGCCCGGGGTGATGACTGCTTCCTGGGGCGCATCTCCCCGGAGGCCTCCTGGACGGCCCCGGCGTGGGCTCCCGGGTCCCTGCCGTGGCTGCTGGTCTCCTCTGCTGAGTCCTTCTGTTCTCCGTGATCTCACAATCTCGCAGCGCCCCGGCTTCTCACCCACGCTCGCCTCTTCCGCGCAGCGATCCCGTGGCTTCAAGCCATCTACACACTTGTCACTCCCACGCTGTCTCTCCGGCCCCCGTCGGGCCTCAGATGTCTGTCTAGACGGACGTCTGCCGTCTCTCCATCGTCCTCATCGGGATGTCTGCGAGGCACAGACAGGCTTCCTGCACTTCACCTCCCCGGCACCTGCCAGGTGGCGAGTGAGCTGTGGAAGGCTCACGTGAGCAAACACCAGCTGGGGTGACAAGGACCGTCCACGCTCCAGGTGTGTGGGTGACGCACGCACGGTGTACACGGGGTGACTCCGTGTACGTGAAGTTCAAGAGCAGCCATGGGAACCTTGGGTGCTGGAAATCAGGAGAGTGGCGGCCTCTGGGCAGAGATGGGGCCACGGCAGAGGCGGGGGCACGGGAGGCCTCTCGGGGCAGAGACTGGGCGAGCCTTCATCTGGGTGCCGGTTAAACCAAGCGTTTCCCCCACGAACGCGCCCTGAGCCGGACACTAGGATCCGTGCACCTTTGCTCCAAGTTTGCCTTCGATTCAAAACACCCAGACTCAACCGCTCTTCACCGCTCCTCTCTCGATCGAAGCCCCGGGCTCTCACCTGGATGACTCCTAAGCTGTCCCCTGCTCCCAGTCTTGACCGAGGATGTCCGCTCTCAACGCAGCCACAGGCCCGTCGGGTTTTCTCCTTCCAAGGCTCACCCGTGCCACGTTTCCTTTCGAGGAAAGTCTCAGCTCTTCCCTGTCGCCCGCAAGGCCAGCGTGACCCAGCCCCGTGGCTCCTTGCCGCCCTTCCACAGGTCGGGCCCCTCCTGTCCCAGGCCCTTGTCCGCTCTTCCCTCGGCCTGGGGGTGCTCGTCGGCCAGGACCGACCCCTCGAGGAGGGAGCTGGCCTACTGAGCTTGCGCTCGACACCCCCAGCTCTCTTTTGCTTCCTTATTCAACTCTACTGTCGTTCCTTTACCTTAGCACCTTCTTTTCCAACACACCGCATGGTCTGAATGGCCGTCCCCCCCTCTCCCGCCCCAAAATGTCCACCCAGAACCCAGGGCTGTGACCTCCCTGGGAAAAGAGCCTTTGCAGGTGTAACTAGGTGTTTGGAGATGAGAGCATCCTGGTTAGGGAGGACGCTAACCCCGACGACAAGTGTCCAAGGGGATGTGAAGACAGGGGCAGA